CTTTTCTCGGCTCGGCTGATCTGAATCCGGTGCAAGTGAGTTACAACACCGGGGACATCACAGGGAACTTGACGGAGTTTGACGGAATATGGGAAGGAGCCATGCTTCGTTTAGTATCTTCAGTGTCATCAGACCGCAGATTTTACGCGGTTGACGTAACGCCCTTGACGGATTTCGTAAAAATTTACGCGTTAATGCAATGCACTCGGGATATATCTCCGGGGGATTGCAGTAACTGTGTACAACTAGCTGTAGGTAATTATCAGACGTGCTGCCGTGGGAAGCAAGGCGGGGTTGTCCGGAGACCGGTCTGCTTTTTCCGGTGGGATCTGTATCCATTCCTTGGAGCTTTTTCCGATATTGCATCGGCTCCTCCGCCTCAACTTACACCACCTTCACCGGACATGACCAAGAAAGGTAAGTCCCCGGCCCCTAAACTGCAGACAGAACGCTCACTGGAACAAGAACAACTCTTAGAAACTGACAAAACTGGTATAGATAATGAAGGTTTGGTAAACAGTTAGTCCATTTTTAAGTAACTGGTTAGATTTATGGAACACGGTTACGAGATTGTAGGAGAGAAAGAGGGGAAGGAAACACTGACAGACGTATAGTTACGATGATATGTTTCTTGATGTGGACAGTCTTCATTGATTCGGGTTTTGTGCAGGCGGAAAAGCGATTTCAACCGGAATAATTGTGGCAATCATTGTTCCTGCCACCGTAATCACGACAATTCTTGCTCTAGGATTCGTTGTTCTGAGGAGGAGAAAGTTCTACAAGCCAATGGAGGTTGAAAGTGAGTTTTGTTTTTTAAATTTTAATTCACCACATCACATGAGATGTATACATAAATCCAAGCTCTTGTTCTAGGATTTGTTGTTTGGATGTATATTCAAATCCAAGAGATCTGTAAAACAAGAGTTGGGGGTACAATAATGCAGAATCTGTACGGCATAAAACACTGCACTTTTGCTGTGCAGATGATGATGATGATGATGATATCACAACTCCACACTCACTGCAGTTCGACTTTAAGGCCATCGAAGCAGCAACGAATAAATTCTCGACAAGGCTCGGTGAAGGTGGTTTCGGCGAAGTTTACAAGGCAAAAGGCCTCTCACCCTATCTGATTTGTCACTCAATCTGAAATCTTGTGTCATTTTGCATGAAAGCGTGTTCTTTATTCGATATTATAGGGCATGCTTCCAAATGGAACAGAAGTTGCAGTGAAGAGGCTCTCGAAAACATCGGGACAAGGTGAACGGGAGTTCAAGAACGAGGTTGTTCTCGTAGCAAAGCTCCAACACAGAAACCTGGTTAGGCTTCTCGGGTTTTGCCTGGAAAGAGAGGAAAAGATCCTCGTCTACGAGTTTGTGCCCAACAAAAGCCTCGATTATTTTCTGTTTGGTCAGTTTCGTTCAACTCTGTGCCTATACTGCTAGACGAGTTTCGATGATTCTTTCGCAACTCATGGAACTTACGGTTGTGAATCTCTGGTAGCTAACCATATACATATATTTATGATGTACAGACCATACGAATCATGGCCAACTTGATTGGACAAGACGGTACAAGATCATCGGAGGGATTGCTCGAGGGGTTGTTTATCTTCATCATGATTCACGTCTCACAATCATACACCGTGATCTCAAAGCGAGCAACATTCTCCTTGATGCTGATCTGAACGCTAAAATTGCGGATTTTGGGATGGCCAGGATTTTCGGGACGGAACAAACCGGAGACAAAACGAGCAGGATAGTTGGAACATAGTAAAATACTTTTGCCCTTGAGTTCCAATTGATTGAAGTTTCGAAAACAGTTATATCAACAGATCAAGCTTGCTTAAACTTGTTGTAAATGTTTCAGCGGCTACATGCCTCCTGAGTACGCAATGCATGGCAGATTCTCCATGAAATCTGATGTCTACAGCTTTGGAGTCTTGGTTCTGGAGATTATTAGCGGGAAAATGAACAGCAGCTTCTACGAAACAGACGATCATCCAGACAATCTGGTCACATATGTGAGTCTATAACCAAGATTCCAAATCTTGATTTCTGTCTACTCTGTGTTGACTGGTTGGGTCTCCATGTTTAGGTTTGGAGGCTTTGGAGAAGCGGGTCGCCGATAGAACTAGTGGATCCGGCCATCGGAGAGAATTATCAAAACGGCGAAGTTATAAGATGCATCCATATCGCGCTATTATGCGTTCAAGAAAATCCTGCAGATCGTCCAACCATGTCAACGATCATCTTGATGCTTACTAGCAACTCGGTCACTCTCCCAGTTCCGAGACAACCTGGATTTTTCTTTCAAAGTAGACGGGATCAGGATCCAATATCATCTATGGCTTGTTCTGTCAATGATGAATCCATTACAGATTTAGATCCACGTTGAGGATAAACACATTCTGTTTCTTGATGTAAAGATGTGTGTTGACAAGATCGATGTCATTGTTTTCATCTGTTTGTCGGCTCCATTGCAGCTTTCTCTGCTTATCTGTTATGTTTCAACGTTTGGTTTTATTGCCACATTCCCCTGTGAGAGATTCTGCAATCTCTTCTCTTGAAAGAATAAAATCGTGTAAACCGTTGAATTTTCTTCAAACGTTATGGACCCTCGTTGACTTGTCTACGCTTGATTCAGCTTTTTAAATACATCACGCCTTCTGCAGTTCTATTGCTTGCGGTCCATGTTCTTTTGCCTTTTTGAATCTTCAACATTTACTATATTCACCTAACTTGGAAATTTGTTTTTCTTTAATGAGTGAACTTTGATTTTTCGTATCTAATTCGTTGACGTGACCGCACATGAAATTGTCTGGCACCCTTCTTTGACAGAGTGAGCATTGTAATGAACGACAACAGTGTCGTCTATATAGTTTCTTGTTCTAAGTTCTTGCAAAAAGAATCTGCAAAAATCTCTCGAAAATGGGTCAGAAGAATCTTGACTCGATCCGTTGCTTCGTCCTCCTATTCTTTGGTGTTGTTTCCGCCCAAAAATGCGTCGACACTGCAGGATTTTTCAGACCCAACACCACTTATGACACGAACCGTCAACTCATCCTCTCAGCTCTTGTCTCCAATGTCACAGCTCGAGGTGGTTACTACAACGGCTCGATTGGTCAAGGTCCCGACACAGTTTATGCCTTGGGTTTGTGCATTCCAGGAACGAGACCTGAGGTTTGTTCAGACTGTATCCAGCCTGCGGTTAACGGGTTATTAAGCAACTGTCCGAACCAGACAAGTGCTTTTGACTGGAGAGCCGACAAAACTCTTTGCCTTGTTCGATACTCGAACATCTCTTTTTTCGGATCAATCGAGTTGGAGCCGCGTCAACAAGAGACCATAAACTTGGACGTTTCAGGGAATTTGACGGAGTTTAATACGACATGGAATGGATTCATGCAAAGTATGATAGATGCAACGACCTCAGCCACTTCGCCTGGACGGAAGTATTACGCAGCTGATGTAAAACACTTGACAGATTTCCAAAGTATATACGCGTTGATGCAATGTATTCCGGGCCTATCTCCGGGGGATTGTGACGCATGTCTACGCGCAAATGTCCGCGACTATCAGTCATGTTGTGGCGGGAAGCAAGGGGGAAGCATTCGAAGACCGATCTGCTTTTTTCGGTGGGATATGTATCCATATCTCGGAGCTTTTGATATCATTGCGTCTTCTCCTCCGCTGCAACCCACGCCTTCTCCCGATGATCGGCCCGATACTACGACCACGGAAGGTAAGTCGCCTGAATATGACGGAAAAGAGCTGACATAGACTAAGGGTACCAAAACAATGACATGAAATCAGGTTCATACATTAGATGATGTTTCCATTCCTGTAAGTAACATTCCGGTGGGGCTTTTGCAGATGGCAAAACAATTTCAGCGGGAACTATCGTGGGAATTGTCGTTCCCACCGTCATAATCATGGCTCTACTTGCTCTAGGATTTGTGGTTTGGAGGAGGAGAAAGTCGTATCGACGGATGGAACTCGAGAGTGAGTTAGTTGTTCATGTTATTTTGAATGTTAGGAAAACAGATAAAGGTATAGAAACTAAGTGTAAATCCAGGAATTTGAGGTTAACTAATGTTATTGTCCAGCTGATGATGATATCACAGCTCCACACTCACTTCAATTCGACTTTAAGACCATCGAAGCTGCGACGAACCAGTTTTCGCATAGTAACAGACTTGGTCAAGGGGGGTTCGGCGACGTTTACAAGGTATAAGTTCTCTGAAGATCTGCTTTGCTATTTCTTCAAAATTTTGAATCAATGCAGCCGGAACAAAGAGATTTTGCTGGTGTTATTTGTAGGGTACTCTTCCCAACGGAAGTGTAGTTGCGGTGAAGAGGTTGTCCAAAACATCGGGACAAGGTGACCGAGAGTTCAAGAATGAGGTGGTTCTTTTAGCGAAGCTCCAACACAGAAATCTCGTTAGGCTACTCGGGTTTTGCTTGGAAGGAGAAGAGAAGATTCTCGTCTACGAGTTTGTCCCCAACAAGAGCCTCGATTATTTTTTGTTCGGTCTGTTCTAGGAATCCTGGTGATTCTTTAGCCATTCTCGGAAACCTCGGGGTCTGTATTCTTGTAGCTGACGGTTTATATGGATATGCAGACCGTACAAAGCAAGAACAGCTGAACTGGACAAGACGACACAGGATCATTGTCGGGATCGCTCGAGGAATTCTATACCTTCATCAAGATTCAAGGCTCACAATCATACACCGTGACCTCAAAGCAAGCAACGTTCTCCTAGATTCTGACCTGAACCCGAAAATCGCGGATTTTGGAATGGCAAGGCTTTTCGGGATGGACCAAACTCGAGCCAACACGAGCAGGATAGTCGGAACATAGTAAAACACTTTTGTCCCTGAGTAACTTGGAACTGAAGCTTGATAAACCTTTTCTGTCCCCTATATACTAAGCTCTAATGTATGCTTCAGCGGCTACATGTCTCCGGAATATGCAATGCATGGCCAGTTCTCCATGAAATCCGACGTGTATAGCTTCGGAGTCTTAGTTCTCGAGATCATTAGCGGGAAGATGAATAGCAGCTTCTACCAGAGAGAGGGCACTGCTGGCAATCTGGTAACACATGTGAGTATGAGCATAAAAAATCGACCTTTTTCATTACTTTACCTCTTATAAAGGATGTGATACTGATCGATCGATCATTGTGTTAGGCTTGGAGGCTATGGAGAAATGGGTTGCCCTTAGAACTCGTGGATCCTGCCATTGGAGATAATTATCAGAGCAACGAAGTTACCAGATACATTCATATCGCGCTGTTATGCGTTCAAGAAAATCCTGCAGATCGTCCGCCATTGTCAACGATCATCTTAATGCTCACTAGTAACTCCATCACTCTACCGGTTCCACGACAACCCGGGTTTTTCTTACAAAGCAGACAAGATCAAGAACCATCTGTTGTTTATTCTGTCGATGATGCATCGATCACTGATTTAGATCCTCGTTGAGAGTGAACATTATCAAACCAGATTTATTTTTCGTAGCAGATGAAACTCGGGTTTGGTTTATTGTTTCTAGATTTTGATGCAAAGAGGTGGATGCACACGAAAAGATTGAATCGGAGACACTCATGAACAGATTGTTTTTTTTTTCTTTCACAAAAAAGAAGGAATCATTGTTTTTATATGTTCAGTGCTTAATGAGAAGGTTATGATTGCCTTGTTGCTCTTGTAGAGATCGCTCGTCACACCGATTGGTTTACACAACTCAAACCGGTTAATTATACTTAACCGTCGGCCCCCTCTCGCCGTCTTCTTCAACTGTTTCTCGCTGGTCTGTCTCCGGCGATTCAGTTTGGGATTTAGGGTTAGCTTTATTGCTGATTTTGGATTTAGGGTTTCTCTACTCTTGTAGATTATGATGCGTTGACGATGGAAGTTGGCGGATAGTTGGAGACTTTACACTGGCAATTTGGCTATTGATTTGTTTCGCCGGATCAATTCTCGTACTTTCTTTTTTCGACATCATCGTCCACTGTTTCATGTTATTTTCCTGCAACTTTTGGTGCAGATCGACGATGAAACCTTCGGACCAGACGGAAAATTGTCCGTCTTTGTTGAATATTCTACAGCTCCCCAATCCCCGGGGCACGCCACTAATCGCATCAAAGGTATGCGTAGAAAATTCAACTCTTGAAAAGAAATATCAGGTCAGCTCTTGAGACTATGCACATGGAAATTTCAAACTTTTGACCAAGTGAACTTAGAAAACTTAGTTGATCAATGGATGCGGCATCTTCACACGTCTTTCCACGGCAATCCGCAGCGAAAAAATCAAATGGTTACGAACTTATGGGAAACGGAACATATACGTATATATCCTTCTTTCTCGCTGTTCTAACGCAACCGTCTGTTACTAGTTTATGAAAATGGATCACAACAAGAGTTTCTTGTCAATATTCTGCTTTGTCCTCGCAAGCATTGGTCTTGTTTCTGCTCAAGTGTGCTCAAACAATGCAGGGTCTTTCAGGCCAAACGGTACTTATGACGTAAATCGTCGTCTTATTCTCTCCTATCTTCCCTCCAATGTCACAGGTCGAGGTGGCTTCTATAATGCTTCTGTCGGCCAAGAACCGAATAGAGTCTATGCCGTGGGGATGTGCATTCCAGGTGCTAAAGATGAGGATTGTTCTGATTGCATCAATGCCGCGTCTGATGAAATAATACGGAGTTGTCCCAACCAAACGGAAGCCTTTTCATGGCCCCGTGACCCCACGCTTTGCCTCATTCGATACTCCAACCGTTCGTTTTTCGGAAAGCTTGATATGCAGCCGAGTGTAAGCCTTTTCAACACCGGAGATCTCGGAGGGAATTTAACAGATTTCGATAGAATATGGGAGGGGTTAACCCTTCGTGTGATAGCTGCGGCTTCCTCGGGCGAGGCCAATGAGTCATCATCCTCAAAACGTAGCTATTATGCAGCTGATGTAGCAGCATTGACGACCTTCCAGAATATATATGCATTAATGCAATGCACTCCGGATATATCTCCGGGAGATTGTAACCGCTGTCTACGACAAAGTGTTGGTGATTATCAGGCATGCTGCCGTGGAAAGCTGGGCGGGGCTGTCATGAAACCGAGCTGCTTCTTCCGATGGGATTTATATCCTTACTCTGGAGCCTTCGATAATATTGCGTTGGCTCCTCCTCCACCGAGCAATCAGGCCGACAGGAGCAAGAAAGGTAAGTCCTTTGAACACAACAAACATTTTTGGAAGATTCTAAAAAGGCATGAGATGGATTCAAACGCTAGATGTTAAATTTCATTGACGCACGAAAATGATCACTGATATTTTACGCTCGTTTGGTGCAGACAATGGAATGATCTCAACCGGAGCTATCGTTGCAATTGTTGTTCCCACTGTTGTTGTCTTCTTAGTGTTACTTGCTGTAGGAATGGCTGCTTGCTGGAGGAGAAAAGCCTGTAAGGAAATTGAAGTAGAAAGTGCGTACTTTCCCACAATGGACAGATTAGCCTTCAGCTTTTTTCTTTTAAATGAAAATTTTCAGCATCCATAATAATAAGACTACACTTTTGTTGGGCAGCTGAGGATGACATCACAACCGAACGCTCGCAGCAATTCGATTTTAAGACAATTGAAGCTGCAACAAATCAATTTTCGGAGAGCAACAGGCTCGGGGGAGGTGGATTTGGTGAAGTTTACAAGGTATTTAGTTCTTTTGATTGCCCGATAATTTGGTACTTCTCTACAACGCTTGAAACATAAGTGACAATAATGCTGCTATATCCTTATATTTCTAGGCCACGTTTATGAACGGAACTGAGGTTGCAGTGAAGAGATTATCAAAAGAATCAGGACAAGGCACACAAGAATTTAAAAACGAGGCTGCTCTTGTCGCAAAGCTTCAACACAGGAATCTTGTTAGGCTCCTCGGATTTTGTGTGGAAGGAGAAGAGAAGTTACTTGTCTACGAGTTTGTGCCCAACAAAAGCCTCGACTATTTCCTGTTTGGTCAGTTGCGTTCGACAGTATTGTCCGGATTCCTTGTCTTAATCTTATAGCTAATGAGTATATGGGCAAGTGCAGACCCTACAAAGCAAAGCCGACTAGACTGGACGATACGGAACAATATCATTGGAGGGATTGCTCGAGGAGTTCTTTACCTTCATCAAGATTCACGGCTCACAATCATACATCGTGATCTCAAAGCAAGTAACATTCTCTTGGATGCTAATATGAACCCGAAAATTGCAGATTTTGGCATGGCTAGGATTTTCGGGATGGACCAAACTCAAGCCAAAACCAGTAGAATAGTCGGTACCTAGTAAGTGTGGCCCTTTGTCTGTGTAGTATCGCCTAACCTTTTTGGTTGTCCGTAAACTCAAGTGTGATGTATGTTCCAGCGGTTACATGTCTCCCGAGTATGCGATGCGTGGGCAGTTCTCGATGAAATCTGATGTGTATAGCTTCGGAGTACTGATTCTCGAGATTGTCAGTGGCAAGAAGAACAGCGGCCTCTACCAGATAGACGGCAATGGAGGCAGTTTAATCACACACGTGAGTATACATGACCAAATTTCAAAAGAGTTCGAGTTCTGTAACATCAATCCAGGTTTTTGATTGTCGGGTGTCGGTTATTATGATGATGTTAGGCTTGGAGACTTTGGAGAAACGGGTCACCGCTAAAGTTCGTGGATCCAACCATTGGAGAGAATTATCAGAACAACGAAGTGGCGAGATGTATGCATATCGGTCTGTTATGTGTTCAAGAAGATCCAACAGTTCGTCCAACAATGTCGACCATCATCTTGATGCTCACTAGCAACACCATCACTCTACCTGCTCCCCGACAACCTGGATTTTTGTTGCAAAGCAGACATGATCAATCCACACCAGAATCTCGGTAGATCTATCTGTAGACCTCAATGATTATTGACGGGTTTTGCCCTGGAAACGAAAATCTTTGGCCTTTTGCTCTGTTTCTGTTTCAATCGAATCAGTTCTCAGACTTTGTTTCTTTCCCACATAATGGTCCTCTGTTTTCTGTAAATCTGATATAGAATGACAACGAATTCTTCAGACCAGTTCCTAGATCCTCTTCATCTCAACACAGAAGATTCAGATAGAGGAGGAGGATATATATACGCACACACATACATATAAATATAAAACTTTGACGTTGTATATGTGCAAATATGTTGGGAAACTGGATTTTCTCAGGCTCGACGGAAATTCTACAATGCTTCGCTTGTATTTAAACACGAAGCTTTAGGGACAAATACAGAGCGATCGTGTACATATATGAACATCATCATCATCTGTCTTCAACGAGGATCTATTTCTGTAATTGAAGCATCATCAACAGACCATAGGATAGACTTGCTCATAGATTGATCAGACCCCAACCCCTTATCCAGTGGATCTTTTTCCTGCCTACTCCGGAAGAAAAATCCCGGCTGTTGAGGCACTGGCAGAGTCACCGTGTTACTCGTCAGCATCAATACGATCGTCGACATGTTTGGACGGTCCCCGAGGTCTTCCTGCACACATAATAGCCCGATATGGATGCATCTTGTAACTTCGTTTCTCTGGTAACTCTCTCCTATGGTCGGATCCACGAGTTCTAAGGGCGACCCTTTCCTCCATAGCTTCCAAGCCTAACATAATTATCTCGGTCCATTAATAATACTTGAATATATATGGTTAGAAAGGCTAGAGTTTTGAAATTTTTGATCCTTTTGTACTCACATATGTGACCAGGTCACTAGCACCGTCTGTTTCGTAGAAACTGCTATTCTTCTTGCCGCTTATGATCTCCAAAATCAGTACTCCAAAGCTATAGACGTCAGATTTCATCGAGAACTGACCGTGCATCGCATATTCGGGAGACATGTAACCGCTGAAACATACACCAAATCTGAGTTTACAGCCGAAGTAAAGGTTAAGGAATGGTCAAGTGGACAGAACTTACTAGGTACCAACTATCCTGCTGGTATTGGCTTGAGTTTGGTCCATCCCGAAAATTCTTGCCATCCCAAAATCCGAAATCTTCGGGTTCAGATCAGCGTCTAGCAGAATGTTGCTCGCTTTTAGATCACGATGGATGATTGTGAGACGTGAATCATGATGAAGGTAAAGAATCCCTCGAGCAATCCCTCCGATGATCTTGTACCGTCTTGTCCAGTCCAGCTCGCCCTGCCTCGAAGGGTCTGCAACATCCATATATACTTCTGATCAGATACAGGACTAACGTTCCGGGTTTTGAGAATGGCAGATTTCCGGGAATACAACCAAAAGGATGGAATGCAATGTACCGAACAAGAGATAGTCGAGACTTTTGTTGGGAACGAACTCATAGACAAGAATCCTTTCTACCCCTTCCAAACAAAACCCGAGAAGCCTGACCAGGTTTCTGTGCTGAAGCTTTGCAACAAGAACAACCTCGTTCTTGAATTCTCGGTCACCTAAGAGCCAGATATATTTTTCTGCCAATGTGAGGCCTGAGTCCCTACACACAAAAAAACACACGCATTACTTAAACGCGAAAAAAACTTCGAAAGAAATTCAGCAACTAACCAAGACTTATATACCTTGTAAACTTCACCAAATCCACCTTGTCCGAGCCTATTGCTCTCAGAAAACCCACCAGTTGCGGCTTCAATTGTCTTGAAATCCAATTGCAGTGAGTCTGCAGTTGTGAAGTCATCTCCTGTTGCAAGTGACAAAGATCAAAGTTCAGTTCTTTTCATTCTTTTACAAAGTTAATCTTTCGATATCGACATGGACGGTTATCGAAATCATTACCGTCATCTGCAGCTGCTGTATCATAACTCTTTCTTCTCCTTGCAAGGAGACAATAACCAACTACGAAGAGCAAAACAGCTACAGCAATCGGCACAACAACAGCTATGATCACCACAGAAGAATTCCCACCCTTCCCTGCAAGTAAAAGATCCTCGAATAAATCAATGGAGAATTCACCAAGAAACAAGCAAAATGACGGAAGAAGACAGAGTTCTTCTGACCAGGTCGTGGCGATGGAGGAGATGACGCCGGCGGCAGAGGTGGCGGCGGCGGAGGAGGACGAGTTGGGGTAGCGCTTTCGTTGAAGAATGGGTAAAGCTCGAATCTTGAGTTACAACTCGGAACAAGAAGTCTTCCCCCGATATTAGCACGAGGCAATTGATTGATGACTAGTTGCAGACATCTGTTGCAATCCTGTCTTGTAAGATCAGGAGTGCACTGAACCAATCCGTAAAAAGTCTGAAAAGCTGTTAAATTCGCCTTCTTGACCGCGAACTTTCTCGAACTATTCACGGCCTCTTCAGCAGCCTGATTCATCGTCGAGAAGAGCACGTCGCTGAATCGACCTAACTGGTCAGATGTAACATTCTGGGTGTTCATCAGTATGACTCCTCCATTGGTATCGAGGGTCGAGAGAATATTTAGGTGAGAGTATCTAAGCATGCACTCGTCGTACCAAATCGTGATCTCTCTCTGATTCGGACACCGTCTCAGAGTGTCGTTGACGGCGAAGGCAACGCAGTTACGACAGACTGTCGGGGAGACATCCCCACGGCAGAGGAAAAGTCCGGTGACCCTGTCGGGGGCTTGCCCCGCCGTGGCGTTCTGGAATCCGGGGGAGAAAGAAGCGTTACGAGGAGAGAGAGAGGACAAAAGGGTTCTCAGATTGGCGAAGTAAGAGCTGTTTCTGGTGAAAGTTGTCGTGTTCGGACATGTATGGTATAAGTATGTCGGGTTTGGTTGCGCAGAAACTTGGAGGCTTGTGAGGAAGAGGAAGAGGAAGAGGAAGAGGAAAGAGAGATTGGATAAAACAGACATGGCTTCAGTTCAGATCGATCACTCGATTTCCTCTGTGGTTGGGATTGGGAGTGAGCAGAAGACCCATATGAACACCCCGTCCCTGTGTTCAGATTGCGTGAAACAGGGGATGAGTTTTTTTGTCTTGAGGTCAAGTCAACTTGCGTTGTTTTGATCTTCACCCTTTGAATTGTCTTCGTCACTTTTTCAACATTTTCTCGCTTGGAAAAAACCCTTTTTGTCCTTTTTTTTTTCTACAGATATTTTTTTGTTCTATTGAAAATTCTTAAAGATTTTAATTGTGATGAAAAGACATCAATTTTGGTTCATTCCGTGTCTTTAAAGCCTCGGAAATTTAAAATTTATTTATTTATTTTATTAGACATTATATTCCAAATGAAAGTTTTATTTTTTTTCTACATAAAATTTCGACATCATGCCAAATCTGGTACTTAATAACCATTAAATTTATAGATATTATTTACGTGGATTGCCTATATTGATGAACGACTGTTAATAGTGGACTGCCTATATTTTAAGCATGTTCTATTCGGATTTTTTTTGTGACGGATAACATCATAATGGTTCAAGAGATCATCCATTCAATGGACAGATTAAAGAGCAAACGAGGCTTCATGGCGATTAAAGTAGACCTCGAGAAAGCTTATGATAGAATTCGTTGGAATTTTATTGAAGAGACTCTCGTAGAAATAGGTCTACCCCACACTCTCATTGCTATTATCATGAGTTGCATCACTACGGTTAACATGAAGGTTGTTTGGAATGGAAAACAGACTAGAAGTTTCTCTCCTTCTAGAGGTCTCCGCCAGGGTTGCCCTCTATCTCCATATATCTTTGTTCTTTGTATGGAACGTCTAGCACATCTCATCAAACAAAGAACTGAGGAAGAAAGATGGAGGGGGTTCCAGATCAAAAGAGGTACACCTATTATCACACATCTCTTTTTTGCCGATGATCTTATTCTGTTTGCAGAAGCGTCAGAAACTCAGATGGAGACGGTTTGTGACACTCTCCAGCTCTTTTGTGAGGCTTCCGGGGAAAAGGTTAGTGTCAGTAAGAGCCAGATATATTTTTCTGCCAATGTGAGGCCTGAGTTGAGGGTTCATTTTGCTGAAATGTCGGGTTTTTCAAGTACGACAGAGTTAGGAATGTATCTAGGAGCTCCAATCTTCCATTCTAGAATATCTCGGAATACGTTTGATTTTCTCATTGAGAAGGTATCAAATCGGTTGAATGGGTGGCAGAGCAAATTGTTATCATTAGCCGGAAGAATCACTCTCACTAAATCTGTTCTTAACACAATTCCTTCGTATGTGATGCAAGTTTTTAAGCTCCCTTCGTCAGTATGCAAGGAATTGGACAGAATTATGAGAAGATTTATTTGGGGGACAACGGATTCCTCTTGGAAAGTTCCACTAGTCAAGTGGGAGCGTGTTAACTTACCAAAACACATGGGAGGCCTAGGAATAAGGCCGACACAAAGATTTAACAAAGCTTTTCTCATGAAGTTGGCGTTCCACTTTCTTACTCAAGAGAATGACCTCTGGGTGAGGTTGCTAAGAGGAAAATATCTTCCAAAGTCAAAACGGATTGGGTACCACCCTCCTACTCACGGAGGATCTATTGTTTGGAGAAGTATTAAATCAGTATGGCAGATTACTCGGGGTGGTTGCGGAACCTTAATTGGTAATGGACAACAAACTGATTTTTGGAGGGACAACTGGGTTGAAGGAGACAAACCTCTTCTTGAATATATCCGACCAGAAGAGCAACCTCTAGCCAGCTTCATTCCGGTGTCGGAATTTGTAAACTCAGATGGAACATGGCGGTGGGACCTTTTTTCAGACCATATCCCCCATTCTACATGCCTTAAGATAGCAAATCTTCTTCCCCCAGGATTATCGGAGGAAAGGGATCAGTTATATTGGTGTGGTTCTAGAGACGGTAAATGTACAGTGAAGAGTGCATATCGATCCCTTGTTCCTGATTTTGTCAATAACTCTGCTTCTATATGGACCAAAATATGGAAATGGCGAGGCCCAGAGAGAATCCGGGTTTTCCTTTGGCTAGCATTCAATCATAAACTATTGACGAATTGTGAGAGAGCAAAAAGAAAATTCAGTCCAACTGCTGAATGTCCATTAGGTTGTCCTCAGGAAGAATCTATCCTCCATGTTTTGAGAGATTGTCGGGTTGCGAAAAAAATATGGATGAACATCAGAGGGGAGACTGAACAGTCAGACTTTTTCAGATATAACGCATCCGAATGGTTTGAAAGGAACTTGTTAAGTGGCTCGGAGCTTGAGAAATTGCCATGGTCGACCATATTTGGTGTTACATGCTGGTTCTTGTGGCGTTGGCGCAACAACTTTGTTTTCCAAAATCAAGGTATCCCATCCCAGATAACGGAAAATATTATGCTATATTCTAGACAAATTCATGAGTGGGGAAGTTTAACTCTTATGTCACCATCGAAAAGACCACGAATTGTACAGGATATTTGTTGGGATCCTCCACCTTGGGATACTATGAAACTAAATACAGATGGAAGTGTTCGGGGAAATCCCGTTTCGGCAGCAGCGGGTGGCCTAGTAAGGGACAGTTGGGGCAATTGGATCGTTGGTTTTGCCTCTAATCTAGGGATTTGTTCGGTGTTTAGAGCGGAAGCTTGGGGAGTTTTGCTTGGATTAAGGTTGGCGTGGGAAAGAGGATGGCATCGAGTGATAGTGGAGGTGGATAATCAAGCATTAGTGAATGCGATCCAAAGTTCGAACATATTAAACACAGTGGATGGCTCAATCATAAAGGCAATACAGGATATATGTGCGAGACAGTGGACAGTTTCAGTTTCTCATGTCTTTCGTGAATCGAACTTCTGTGCCGATCAACTCGCCTCTATGGGACATAATTTGCCGATCGGTTTGACGGTCTTTGAGTCTCCCCCATCTGCCATGTCCGAGTTACTTTATGCTGATAGGATTGGAATTACAACCCTCGTGGTTGCGTGATGTAATTCAAAAGTTTTAACTCCCTTTTATAAAAAAAAAAAAAAAAAAAGAAACTTATTTAGATGTCAACTGTTTTTATATTCTAAGTAAAATTTCAAAAGTTGTCACACCCCTATCTTTTTTATAAATTGCTAGAAAGAAAAACAAAACCTACTTTGAAAAATAACCAGAAAAATAAAACAAAATTATAATAAATACCGGAGATGTATTATTGGTGGCTATTTAATGAGACCGCAATAAATTGGTGTACACCCAAAAAAGAAAATTAAAATAAATGAAGAATCGATATCGTTCCACGTGCTCCATTTTTGTTAGTGCTAAAGACACAAACATACACTATCTAATATTTTAATGTTTTGTGTTTTTTTTTATTACAAAATAAGTTAAAATGTTCCTATATAGTATTTTTTTTATTTACAGTTAAATTCGTTATAGTTAATGCAGTATACCATAGTTTTATTATGTTGATGTAAGATGGGATTATAAAATGTTTTAGATTTGAATCGGAATAATCCGAAACATGTAAAGATGATTGTGGGAAAATCAAGTCAAACTCTGCACCATAAACATAAACAATCTTTCAGCTGGGCAGTTGGGCATTTTCCATGCCCTTCAATTATTGAGAACGCGCTTTCAAGTAGGGGTGGGCAAAAATACCCGGCTCGCCCCGAGTGTCGGGTACCCGAAAATTCGGGTATCCGAGCGAATGAGACATGAGTTCGGGTATTGGTATTAGAATACCCGAATTTTTGGATTCGGGTTCGGGTAATAGTTATTATTTCACGGGTACCCTCGGGTACTCGGATAATAAAAAAATATGTTTTAAAATTTAGATTTTTTATTAGATTTTATGTTATTTTATTTAATATTAATGATTATATAGATATTATTGGAATATATCTTTGATGTATTTTTTTAAAATAAAGTTATTTTAGATATAAATACAATTTAAATTTATTTTGAATGCTTTTGTGTATGTATATATAAATATATTTAAAAATAATAATTGAAAAAATTACAAATATTCGGGTTCGGATACCCTCGGGTATCCGGAAATTATCTCACGGGTTTTCGAATCCGGGTACTCGATTTTACGGGTATGAGATCGGATAATAAAACATGTAACCCGAGATGTTCGGGTTCGGGTTCGGGTACCCTCAAATTTCCGGGTACCCGATCCGTGCCCACCCCTACTTTCAAGTTGGGTGTGTGTAGGGGTGTGCACGGATCGGATTCCGGGATTTTTGAGATATCCGTATCCGATCTGCACAAATATTCGATTTTGTTATCCGTATCCGATCTGAAATTTTCGGATATCCGCAACTTCGGATATTCGTTAAAATCACGGATATTTGCGGATATCTGTATCCGACCTAAAATATTACAAAAATTTTAATTTAAATTAAATAACAAATTCAAACGTAAATAAAATATATAATCTATTTAAGATAAATAATATTTACAAATTTAAAATTCATAATTTAAACATTCCAAATCAACTCAAATACAAATACAATTATAATCTATTACATACAAATATATTCAAAATTCAAAATCCAAAACACTAAACATAATAAATCTTAATATTCAAAAATTAAAATTATAAACCTCAATATATATAATTTTTTTCTTGAATCACCCTAAAAAACATGTAAATATTAAGCATTTTAAATCTCTATACCAAATTATTCTTATATTTAATAATATTATTACAAAATACGGATCAGATCGGATATGTCGAATAATTCAAATTTAATATCTGTATCTGATCCGTATCCGACAAATATTTTCAAATAAATATCCGTATTCGTTCCGTAAACTCCGGATATCCGAATTTTCGGTTCGGATACGAATCGAATAACGGATCGGTTCAGATTTTTCGGATATTTTACTCACGTGTGTGTATATATATGGTCGTCCAATTTCATATTTAAAGTCAATTTCGAAGAAATTTATTAATACTTCCCAAATGCTTTTTATTTTGTATGGTTTGAAAAATAATTTTTGTATTTATCTGAAAGTTTTAACTTCTATATATTTTTTATGGTTTTTGAAAATCATTTTCTTATATTTATTAAAAAGTTGATAGTAAACAATTATTTTTTCCCCGGTTTTGAACATATTATGGTATAAACGCAAGACATTGAATAATATTCGTAACTCAACTCAACCTATAATATTTTATATAATTTAATATTTGAATTTAAAATTTCAAAATCACGAGAAGGAATCACAATTATTTTTATCCAGTAGATTAAAAAAATATATTCTCGTTCTGGCACATTTTCTTGATCATTAAGCAGATATTAAATCATATTAATATAACAAAATGTTCTTATGATACTCCAATTTGTTCATCACACGAGCGATAGAGCATTCTTTTGTCTAAGAAATTATTTAAAGACGAGAGAAATTCTATTCCTAACAAAAACGACCGGTAGCTTGCATTGAATTAATAAATTTAATATGCGAAGATTAAATTAAATTAATTGTATCTTTTTTGACCAATTCTTCTAATAATTTTCTCTCGTGGAAAAGTAGCCGCCTTCTTCCACACGGGACACGTGTGCGGAAACTAAACCCCAAAAGACACGAACTCCATCAACTTCGTGTTCCGTCCTCGCGTATACGAATACTGTCCTACGTATACCATACCGTACAAAACAATATATGGTGTTATTTTACACAAATACAAACCATAGCTTTTACGACTTGAATCATTTGATCTCCTCCTTCAACGACGGTTTGACAAATTAAGATAAGTATGGCTTAAAAGTTGACGCCATGATATTATTACGAGCTGCGTTGAATTGACTTGTATTGTTTTTTTTTTCTTTTCGCAAAATCATCTCTCCTTTTTCACGTAATCTGAAAAGAGACCAGACGGCATCCATACAGAGCATATGGATCTGTACGAAGTTTCAGTCTTCAAGATCGAAACAGAGGAAGAATCAAGAAACAGAACATGTCTCTTCACGCCATCTCCACCTTCTTCTTCCTCCTCTTCCTCTCGAGCTTCAGAGTTTCTGAACAGGTCCCTGCTTATGTATCCAGCGTTTGTTCTAACGCGACGACTTACGCAAGAAACGGCGCTTACTCCGTCAATCTCAGGACCCTTTTGGCCTCTCTCTCTTCCTCCACCGCCCCCTACTCCGCCGGATTCCAGACCTCCACCGCCGGACAATCCCCTGACACGGTGACCGGACTTTTCCTCTGCCGGGGAGATATGTCGACGGAGATTTGCCGCGACTGCGTCGTTTTCGGTGCCAACGAAATCCTTAACCGCTGTCCGAGCGAGAAAGAGGCCCTGATCTGGTACTCGGAGTGCATGCTTAGATACTCTTACAGAAACACCCTCTTGACCCCTGCAACTGGAAATTGGAGCTTCTTGATGAACACTCAGATCTTTACGTCTCGAGAACTAGACAGGATGAACAATGTGTTGGTTTCGATGCTGAGAGATGCTGCAGAGGAGGCGGCCAATAATACCAGAAAGTTCGCGATGAAACGCGCAAACTTCACGTCTTCGGAATCGTTGTACGGACTGGTTCAATGCATGCCGGTAATATCGAGACAGGACTGTCGCAACTGTCTGAACCAAGCAATCAATAGATTGGCCCCTAACAACACAAGGGGAAGATTCATTTCTCCGACTTGTAACGCAAGGTTCGAGCTTTACCAATTCTACAACCAAACCGCAGTGCAAACTCCACTTCAACAAGGTCAGAGCACTCTTCTCTTCGTTTGGTTCTTTTTTGTTTCAAGAGTGAATCTTTGATCGGTTTCTCGGTCATAGTATACACTAGACATCGTAACCGCAAACGGGTTTTCGTCAAAATCTTAGATTTGGTGTGTTTTCGGAATCTCTTTCGCGCAGGCAAAGACCAGAATTCCGTGATAATCATCGCTGTCATTGTCCCGGTTGCTGCTGCTGCTCTGCTAATTGCTGCTGTTTACTTTGTGCGTTCAAGGAGAGCAAGAAAGACTTATGATACAACAATTGCCGGCGACTGTAAGGATTTTACCGATGAACAATCTCGATTATGTTTCCTTATATAGAAAATGCTACTTGTTTTTTGGGTTATTTCTGTATAGAGCATAACAGAACACATTCGTTTCTGCAGCTGGGGATGATATCACAACTGAAGGCTCGCTTCAATTCGACTTCAAAGCAATTGAAGCGGCAACTGATAAGTTTTCGGAGAGTAACAGGCTCGGTCAGGGTGGATTCGGCGAAGTTTACAAAGTAGGCGTTCTTTGGCTGCCTTGAGTTATTATTGCTTCTTCTCTACAGATTCTGAATCAAGGGCTGAGACATTATTATTTACATGACGGTACTATTTTGCAGGGTGCGCTTCCGTGTGGAACAGAAGTGGCGGTGAAGAGGCTGTCGAAAACGTCGGGACAAGGCGAAAAGGAGTTCAAGAACGAGGTTGTTCTTGTAGCAAGACTTCAGCACAGAAACCTGGTTAGGCTGCTAGGGTTTTGTTTGGAAGGAGAGGAAAAGATTCTCGTCTTCGAGTTTGTTCCCAACAAAAGCCTCGATTATTTCCTCTTCGGTCTGTATACTAAGTTTAAATATCCGGAATTTCTAACGACTTTTTAGCCATCCTTGATGTAACCATGGTCATGACTGTTGCAGACCCTTCAAAGCAGGGCGAGCTGGACTGGACAAGACGGTACAAGATCATCGGAGGGATTGCTCGAGGGATTCTTTACCTTCATCAAGATTCGAGGCTCACGATCATTCACCGTGATCTCAAAGCGAGCAACATTCTCTTGGACGCTGATATGAACCCGAAGATTGCAGATTTCGGAATGGCAAGGCTTTTCGGGATGGATCAGACTGAAGCCAATACGGGAAGAGTAGTCGGAACATAGTAAGTTTTGTCCTTGATCTTATCTACAACCTGCTGAAGATAGTTTTGTCTGTAGACTCACAGAATCTGCTGTATGTTCCAGCGGGTACATGTCTCCCGAGTATGCGATGTATGGCTACTTCTCCATGAAATCCGATGTATATAGCTTCGGAGTTCTTGTTCTGGAAATCATAAGCGGCAAGAGGAACAGCAGCTTCCACGAGATGGACGATACATTTGGCAACTTGGTCACATACGTGAGTTTTATCGAAGATAAATCAGAACTCGGATTCTTGTTCAGCATGATAATCGATTTTAACGGTCAATGCAGGCTTGGAGGCTATGGAGTAACGGTTCGCCTCTAGAGCTCGTGGATCCGGCTAACGGAGAGAGTTACCAGAGCAATGACGTGATCAGATGCATACACATCAGTTTATTATGCGTTCAAGAAGATCCAGTGGACCGTCCGACCTCGTCAACGATCATCCAGATGCTGACTACGAGCTCGATCGCCCTTCCCGTGCCTCGCCCGCCCGGATTTTTCTATCGAAACAGGCGCGTGGCAGACGCACAGGGTGACAGAAGAGTCTCTGCACAGTCTGCAAGCAACTCTGTTCCTTGGTCTGTTGACGATGAATCCATAACTGTTATAGATCCTCGTTGAAACTAAAGATCTCTTCAATTTTTAGGCTTGAAACAGAAATCGGAAGCCCGAGTGCTTGTAAATGACTTATTTTGCTTAATACGAACACAGAGAGGATACATATTTGATCATATGGATCTGTATATGAAGCAGACAAAACAATGGAATCAAGAACCAGAGCAATTTTTATTCTTCTTGGTGGAAAAAACAGAGCATGTTTGCTCACATCAGTTTTACCTTTGGATCTCTTCCTCACAAAACCCTGCTTATATGTACACAGAGATTGATCGAACATGAAGAGCAGTTGGAGCATAGCAAGTTTCACTCAATTACCCAAAACGTCGGCCGACCATGTCTACAATCATACAGATGCTCACTAGGAGCTCGATCGCTCTGCCAGTGCCACGACCACCTGGGTTTTTCTTACGAAGCAGAAACCAATCAGAATCTTCGAACAAGTCCGTTCTTTGTTCTATTGATCATAGATCGATTACGGTTGTGGATCCTCGCTGAATCCATCACGTTCTCTTGTCTTAACCAAACTCAGTTGTCGTGTTTTTGCGCCATTAACTCAGGGCAAGGTCACCAATCAAAAGCCAATGAATACAAAAACAGAGAGTTTGTTTCTTCTTTCGTTAACTATACAGGAACCCGAATCAGTAGATACAATAGGGCTCTTCTATCTTTTCCTAGTTTTACCTCCACAAACCCTAAACTCTAAGCATTCGACAAAGAGACAAGACCAGACCAAGGTGACATGACAACAAAGGCATTGTTGGTCGTGATTCTAACTGACCTGGTGGTTTACTCAGGTTTCGTTGCCGGTTTCTGGATTGCCGCTGGCATGTGACTTGGTGAACGGCTTCCCAGTCCCGATGTTCGACTTCTTGGTGTCCAGTGTCGGAATAAATGGTTTGCTCGCTTTCCTAAGGGGATCATCGGCTGGTTTCTCTTTCTCACGAGGGCTGGCCAGACACTTTTCGACGTTCCCAAATTTGGCTGTGGCCAGAGGCTCCATGCCCACGCTTTTGGCATTGTTTGGTGCATCTATGGTCAGAGCTGAAGCTTCGTCTCTCGATGCGTACCACGAATGGCCACAGGCAATGCACTCCAGCTGATAGCAATATAGAAAGCAATCAAATGTGAAACAGGTTTACTAAAAACAGAGAATATGCCAACAGATTCATGTGACGACAGCCAATAACAATTGCATGGACAAAACGTCCTCCAACGTATCTTCTTGTCCAGTCTATTGAACATCAAAATTGTGTTGGGACGGTTAATCCAGGTACTCTACCGAAGGTCAGGTGATCATACCATACACAAACACAACAAGTTATCAACAAGATAAGTTGGAAAGTTTCAGACTGTCTTATTCTAGAATATCATGGCCCAATTTTGCCTCATCTTAAGGACAAAGCTACTCTCTATAAAAGCTCACTTCACCATTCTCCTATCTTTTCTATATTTGTCAACCATATCATTTTTAACCCGAAAGTAAAGGGAAGAGTAAAAGAACCTGATAGCGGTCTGCGTGCCCAGCCTGGATGATGTCCCTCAAACCCACTTTGAACTGACTGCATCTTGAGCATCGAGCATCAGTCATCTGTCTCAGGTAATTGCAAGAAATGAGCAAATACAGACCAGTTAAAAGTCAAAACAACGGTTAAATAAGTTTTAGGGCTGGAGAGGAGGACCTGCATCCGTTCCGTATCATCAGGCTCCTTTGTTGCTGTTTCTTCAGCTGTCAAACCCTCCTGATCTCAAAAAACTCAAGTTATTAGTCACGCTAACATGTCAAATTACCCAGTAATGTTTCTCTACATATCCAGAAACAGAAATATCATTGGAGGAGAATCTGAAAATATCAAACAAAAGAAGCTTTTAACCTTTAACTCAGTGGGCGACATGTTCAAAATCTTCGTAGGTTTTAAATCCCCACTGAGAAGTCGTCTAGCTAGTAGTGGAGTGTTCTGTCAAGAAACATAAGGGATTTGATATCAAATATTCAAGATAGAAGAAAAGCAAAGGAAAGCATTATCTGGCTGACGGAAGATGGTGGTTTGCAGCAAAACGAGAACCTCTACAAAACTACTCCAACATAGAGAAACCATATTCTATTAATATGAATGCAATCATCAAATTTCATATGGCGTTTCACAAATTTATGTATTTCCATGTAGTAGGAAAATGTCAACTGCGCATGCTCCCAACAAGACAACTTTTGAGTTAAAACTCAATTCCAGCAACCCATGTACAAAAGAATTCATACATTGACGGAGAACAAAATGCACAAAACAAAACAAGAATGGAGAACAGCAAATCCTATAAAAATAAATGTGAGGAATACAGCTCTAACCTTGAGATTGAAAACCAACGACCTCAACTTTTGATTGTATTTTTGGAAATCTGAGGCCAGGGAATCATGTGAAGCCTGCTCAAGAGCACACACTGCAGGAACAGCATCATCAGGCCAGAGAAAAGTATTCTCAGCCTGCAAAGAAGCAAAAAAAAAAGATTATTTTAGAAACTACAAATCCCTTATGCACAGCTTACATTGTCTACGTCATGCCTCCAGGTTTATCCTTGTCAATATTGGTACAAATGGTAACCGCCTGAAGAAAGAGAAAGAGAGAGAAAGAGAGAATTTTGACACATGATCAAACACGTTTAAAGAATTAGCAAGGACCTTTGACGGATCTTTTTGAGATCCAATTTCAGCCTCAAAAGCTTTCTCATCATTTTCATGGTGAAATCCATCTAATTCAGTCTTCTCATCACAGGCTTGTTTACTCTCAGGGATAAAACACACATGCTGAACTGCTTGCAGAAGCTTCTCCAGACCCTTGTCACGATGATTATCACCTGTTAGCGAATCAAACTTCTCCAAGATAGAGCGATACTCCTCCGAAATAACCGTGGCACTTCCAGGTGTCTCAGCTTTTAAAAAAGCATCTTCCTCCTTTCGGACATCAAGAGGAGGTATGTTCTTTTTACGAAGAGATCTTTTAGCCTTCAACAGATCCTCTTGTTCGACAGGTGCTTCACCTGATTCAAGGTCAGGAAGATCACCCAATCGCAGCATAGTCTTGTCCACAAGGAGGTTAATTTCACCCTGTTTGGTATCTTCATAGTCTGTGTCAGTCAACTTCCAAAGTTTCCTTTCCACAGTATCATACACCTTGCGAACGATAAAACCAGGGTGCTGTTTACGATTTGGAAGTTGCTTATGAGCAGGGACGAAATGCACCACACATTTGTGCATTGCAGATTCCGCTGGGACTTCATCACGATGGAAACTGTAGAAGAGCTCTCGTGTATCACATGGCTGCCAGTTTCCACCACCCTTCTTCTCAGCCTCTTCCGGACGATAAAACCATTGTCCCAGAATCATCATGTTTCCATTGGATTGGGTAATATCCTGTCAGCGAACAAATCATGTCCTTTGAAGGAGGATGAGGTGACAAGGACGATAGAAATGTCAAAAAAAGAAATCAAACAGCACCAGCACCTTAATGATTGCAACATATGGCTTTAGATTTTTATCCTCCGGAACCAACAGCACGGGATCCTCCTGCAGGAAAAGGTAGTGGAACACGGACCAGAAGAAAATGATCTCTGACCTCCCATATTAGGAATCAAAATGCACACTATCCAGACCACTAATGACAACCTTGACATATAAACAAAGCTAAGAATCTGGTAGCTAGAGGATACAAAACACGGGAAAGAAAAACGAGCTAGATCTCTAGGCATCACCATGCAATCAGAATCTGTAATCTTCAAAGAATCTGTTCACACTTCATTAGAAATATGTGCTCCAGATTAGAGAGACACCTAGTTCTTAGATCACTAGTTACAGGCATAGCAGTTCAAATACCAATAACAGAAACTTCTGAAGCTGTGATTTGAACAGAAAAGGGCACACGATAGAGGAACTTAGATCCACCGAAATGTATCTCATGCAGAACAAAAACCAGGTTCCTAAAGACACGTCTTCGGCAACGTAGCAACAGAAAACAGCAGGAAAAAAAACCCCCAAAACCTTAGTTCCACTATCCCCAACTCCAAAACAAGATCACGACAAAAGTTACGGGCTCAATTTCACAAACCAAGTCGTAAGACGCGCTGATTATAGTCTAGTAGAAGAATTACGACGATCATGGAAACCTCATACCTAACTGCTCTCCAAAACATCAGAACAGCCAGGGCAAGAGTGTTGTGTGAATCACAGCAACAACCGGAACCCGTAACACAAATTTCAATAGCATAATAGCATATTATAAGATTCCATCCACAATCGTCAAACTCAAAGGGGGAAATCTAATCAAAACACACAGGGGAAAAAAGACCCATAATCCAGAAAAGGTAACATAACCCTAGAAACCCTGCAGAGCACGTCAACTCTAGATAAAAAAACAACTCACCAGTTCATACTTATTCCCATCGTACTCGAATCCGGCGTAATGGTTCCTCTTCCCCCTTCCTTTACCCGTAACCTTAACCAATTTGCCAACTGGTTTCGCATCCTCCGGTTTCTCCTCTTCCTCGTCCTCCTCCTCCGCCACTTCCTCCTCCTCAGATTCGTGTTCATCTCTCCTTCCCTTTATCTTCCTCTTCCTCTTAGTTCCCCTAATCTGAACACCTCCTTCGTCTTCGTCTTCGTCTTCGTCTTCGCTCAGCTTCACCTTCTTCTGCTTCCTCTGCCTCCTCTTAGTCTCGTCGAAGCCCGAGTTCCCACCCTTATGCCTCGTCAATGGCGCATCACCTTCCTCGTCACTAGTCGACACTTGAGCAAATCGCCGGTTCACCATCTCTCGCCAGGTTCCGTTGATCGGCAAATTTTGTCGTCTCGGGGATCTTCTGGGCCCTCTCTGTGTTGGAGAGGACCGCTCGTGTACCTCCGGTGTTATTAATAACCCGCTACGATGGATGTGGGCCCGAGACAATATGACGGAATTACCCCTGGTTAACTCGAATTCGAGGGGGAAAGAAAGGAGAGAGAGAGACGAGAGATTTGGGCCTACACTTTTATGAGCCGAATAATGGGCTCAACTTGTAAATTATCTAAAATTCAAAACATAAATTGATTACCGTATTCCATCGGGAGACGCGTAGCTGAAGACGTGGCGGCGAAGGAAAGATGTCCGGTCTTGGATCTCTCACGGACACGTGTGACAATTAGAGCCGTTGGATCGAGAAAACGAGAAATATCTCTTCTGTCTGAATTATTACAATCCACGAAAAAAATGTTTGAATATATGAAATACACGTATTTAAAAAAAATGAAGAAAAATTGCGGAATTTAAGAGACACAGAGTTTCCCATTCCTCCAAGAATCTAAACTTTTCTGCCCTCGAGCTTTCTTCATCCATCGGTTGTTTCCTTCTCCAGGTTCAATCGGGATTTCTTCTTTCCATCGCTCTCTCTCTGTATATATATATATATACAACTTAGTATACGTATTTGTCCCCAAACATTAGAATCGATTTGATCTCATTTGAACAGTTATAGTTTCGATTTGATCTGGGTATCTTGTGTGTATATCGATTTCCGAATTTCGTCATCTGGGTTTTGGAGAATTTTAGGTTTAAGGGGCCTCTGCACTTGTAAAGTTTAGGTTTTCCGTGGTTTCTAGGTTAATTGGGTTGTTCTCAGATACGGATATGGAGGTTGTGATTGATTAGCGGTCGTTTCCTGTTTATAGGGTTAGGGTTTCGCCGTGGGAAAGCTGTTTGATTCCTTCGGTCCGCGAATTCGTCTTCATCAAGGTCTCGTGCAGCTTTCTCACAGGGTCATTCTAGGGTTTGGATTGTATTAGGGTTTGAACGTGTGGCTTGATAATCATTCATTGGTTAGGAACTGGGTTGGAATTAAGACATTGCGAGTCCTTTCATTCCGGGTTTAAGGTTTCTGGATTCTGTAAACATGGCGGATGTGATTGGAACGATATCGTTGTTGGGCCATCGTCCTTCGGTTGTAAGGGTTTGTGCAAAGAATGCATCGAAGACGCAGAAACTGCAGAACAAGGTCCAGTTCCCGGTGAAGCCAGATTGCAGTAGGAAGGTGGTTCTTGCCCATCCAATGCAGAGCTTGAAAAAGAGACGGGCATCGATGTTCCCGATTAGGGCTCTTGCCATGGAGCTGATGAAAGAGATGCCTGCCTATAAAGATGAGGAGAGGGTACCAAGAACGTGGAATTACCTTGATTTGGGAGTGGATAAGAAACCCGGGATATGGCCTCCTAAGAACAAAGCCGACAAGCCTTCATTACAAAATCCGTTGCTAAGGCACGAAAGGATGGGTTGTGGTTGGTTAGGTGTGATTTTCGAGTGGGAAGGCGTGTTAGTAGAGGAGAACCCCGATCTCGAGAAGCAAGCATGGTTAACTTTAGCTCAGGAAGAAGGTAAATCTCCTCCACCGGCTTTTATCCTTAGACGTGTCGAAGGGATGAAAAACGAGCAAGTGATTTCAGAGCTTCTGTGTTGGTCGAGGGACCCTGCACAAGTTAAGAGGATGGCATCTAGGAAAGACGAGATCTTTCAAGCTCTACATGGAGGGGTGTATAGACTACGAGACGGGTCACGGGAATTTGTAAACGTATTGATGCGTTACAAGATCCCGATGGCATTGGTCTCCACCCGTTCCCGAAAGATGCTAGAGAACGCGATTGGGTCAATAGGCATCGAGGGTTACTTCACCGTGATAGTTGCAGCAGAAGACGTTCACCGTGGAAAGCCAGACCCTGAGATGTTTTTATACGCAGCTCAACTTCTGGAGTTCATACCCGAGCGGTGCATCGTGTTCGGGAACTCAAACCAAACGATCGAGGCGGCTCACGATGGCCAGATGAAATGTGTGGCTGTGGCTAGCAGACATCCTATGTACGAACTCAGTGCAGCTGATCTGGTCGTGAGAAGACTAGACGAGTTGTCGGTGGTTGATCTGAAGAATCTTTCGGACATCGAATCAGCCCAGTTCGGGTTGATGGAACCAGAACCTGAGCTCGAGGAGGAAGACGAGCATGGCCGTCCTTCTTCGGCCGTGGCCGTTGATGATATCTTCTGGTGATGTTTGTTCTCTGTAATTTGTACAGTCTTATTGATTTGGTCTCTCGTGGCAAATATAGTTTTCTGTATTGGTCTTATCTGTGTATAATTCAATATATATGTACACGTATACGGTTAGTTTACGGTGTATACGTATCATAAAAACATTATTTTATCAGACTCTTAAGTTGGAATACATCATTATATGCAACCAAAGCACGCGCCCCATGCTTCACGCTATATACTTTCACAATTTCATTGCTTACAGTCGCGAATTTAAGGGGTTTGATTGTGATTTCGAAATGTAAGGGGTTTTATACGAATGAAAAAATAAATTGAAGGACCTCTACGCAATTTCACGCACGTAGGACAAACATTCACAATTTTTTTGTCGTGTCATTTGGAAATCAAGAGTGGTGGACTTTTCTTTTCTCGTTTTTTAAGAAATTGCATGTCGTCATTTCGATTAAATTTTTCCCCCGATGTTTTTATTGTAAACACGTTAATTTTATAGGTAAAAAACAACATCATATTTGGAATAATTTTAATATTAATATCGATAAATAAATAAAATATTTTTAACTATTCTCATATCCACTCAGATATTATATCCCTTCGAAAAATCGTAACCAGATATGGCCATAATTTATTTTCAACATCCAAATTTAAAAACAAGCTTTTTTAAATAACAAAAATTTAAAAATCGTAATTTTTGTTTACCTCAGTGGACATGTGGCGAAAGCTGTGGCCGCCAGATTTGATTCACGTGACCACCTTTACCAACCTACAGATGTAACTAATATACAGATTCCACCCATGCACAATACCTTTCTCTTACGTATTTGCACACCCACCCCCTCTTTTCTTCTATTGTTTTAGTAAACACGTCTTTATTTTTAAAAGCTCATGAATATATAAATACATATATAAGATGATTATTATGGACATATAAATCCTATTCTCCAATTTAATATCTGTGTATATTTGTATATGGGCGTTGGTTCCACCTATCGAGGAGGATAAAATTAAAATACTTAACCACATTTTGTTTAATGATTAAAATTATTGAATTAAATTTCAACATAAATATCTGTTTGGAATAAAGTGATCAAAACAAAGAAAAGGGATGATTTTGTAAACCATAGAGAAATGAGAGGCAAAAACATAAATTATCTTTTTGCAATCATTTTCACACTCTT